GGGGGTTACTGCCTGTTAGGGATTATGATAAAAACACTATTAAGGAGAGATGACCATAAAGGGAGAAGAATTAATGCGATAAACAATTGATATTCCATGTAAATTTTTGAAGATCAAGAAGCCAGGGAGACAAGAAGCCAGAAGAGAGTTCCTCAAGCGAGAAGTGCGAGAGGGGAAACTGTTAACATAAAACAAAGAAAAACGTGCTGGTTACATGAATAGGATTGATTTGTTTAGAACAGATTTTTTTTTTTTAACATGGACAACTTTCATTGCAATTTTACTCCGATGGAACCTCATAGCTCCTCGACATTTAACATTGCTTTTCGTATTTTTTTCTAAATTACGAATTTTAGAAAATATTATTAAAATATTAACTTCCTATGTGGCAGTGAATGCAGGACAATTACCACATAGATAAAGAAGAGACTTGAAGCAACAGAAATGTAGTTCTACAGAAGGATGCTGAGAATACCATGGACCGAACACGTGGGCAACGACGAAGTTTTAGAGAAAATAGAAACAAAAAGGAACTTATAATTAACATCAGGAAGAGACAGTTGAGATAATTAGAAAAGAGGGATTGGAAAATTTGATACTCACAGGATAAATTTAAAGGCAAGAGGTACAAAAGGAAAACAACGCATAATTTACTTAGCGAGTTTTTGTAAATGGATGAAAGTCAGCCTTTAGGAGAAATAATTAAAAACTAAATATCTTAATAGCTATAAAGGACAGGAAATTGTGGAGAGCAATAATCGCCTACATCCTGGAGAGTCACGTCACATAGAAGAAGATGTACTATAACTAATTTATTGCAAATAAATTTTAACAAGTAGCAAAATCCTATAGAAAATGAAAGTAATTGACAAAAACGTATTTGTCTATATTTCTGAGATGAGTAACTATTTAAACTATTTACATAGTTCTGGCTATTGTCCTCATCTTTATTGCCACATTCACAACGTTTCGGCCGCTTTATTTCCCGGCTTTCTTCAGGTGATTTTTAAAAAATTTCGAACCTAACCCAGAATAGTCAATGGAAGGAACGTCTACACAAACGTCATCGGACCAATCTTCAGAATCGCGAATTGACTATTCTGGATTCGAAATGAAAAAAAAAAAATCTCACCTGAAGAAGGCCGGAGCGTACAACGGTTGAAACGTTGTGAATGTGACAATAAAAATAACTAGAACATTCTGAAGAAAGTAAATAGAGTAAATAATGATATATTTATTGAAAAAGATATTTCTTTCGTGATACTTTATTCAATGTAAGGCTTGTGGTTAATGCTGTGAATTTTGATTAGGCTCCAACGTTGTCAATGATAATCACACAGAGAAGCTATATAACATGTCTGTAACAACAACCAGCGTGTAAAATTGAAGAGACTTACTTGTAATATTTCCCGAAGGGAAAATTGGAGTTACAGTGGTTTCTCTATGAAACTTGTGTGGCTGTGTGTTTTTTTTCCTATGAGACCTACCGCTGTGGACTTGAGGCGTCCTTCTTCTTTGGGCATTACATCGCAAGTGCCTACTATATCTCCTGACGTCACTCAGTGGTCGTCATGTAACCCACGTGACTTTATCTCAACGAAAGGGAGACAATGTCCCTTTGTATCCCTTTAATGAAAAATAATGATTTGAAATTTTATGGAGTAAAAAACGAAATTCCTGCCTACATTCGGGAACGGTCTTAAACACACGTTTCAGTACTTGTTATTTCGTTTTACATGATATATATATATATATATATATATATATATATATATATATATATATATATATATATCCACAAAAGTGTGTATGGTTCTGCACGAAACCTTCACCACTATAATCAAATTTTATGTGCTGATGTCGGGCTGTCGGTTTCCTAGGAACTGATCTGCTTGACCCTCATACGTCGAAGCGACGGAAGAGTCTCTCTCTATATATATACTAGCAGTAGAGCCCGGCGTTGCCCGGGGATGTAACAGTAAGAGATAGATCAAGTATCGACCATCATAAAGACTGAAAAATAAAATTGACAAAGATTAATGTTTAAGGTTGACGAACACGCATGTCTTAATTAGTTTCTTTTTTGTTTTTTTACGAATTGGTCAAACCCAAACTCAAACAAAAACATTGGTTTCAATCGTTATGAGTCTACCGATTGAATAGAATTTTATTATAAACAATTGTCTTGTAAATGGAATTTTTAAAGTTTCTGAATGTAAAAATAAAGAAAAAAGTGTGCAAGACAATAAGAAACACTACCTGGCAAAAAAAAAAAGTGAAGTTTTGTTGAAATCGGTTGAAAAATGTAGGAAATCTGATCCCATATATAAAAGAACACACACACACACACACACACACACACACACACACACACACACACACACACACACACACACACAATCTGGGTTTTATAATAAGTATAACTCGATATGAGTTGTCTCCCTTTCATTTTCGCGATGCCTCTTAATCGTGTTTTCAAATTAATTTCGTGCAAAAACAATTGTGTTTTTCCAATTTTTTGCGCTGTCAGAACCACTGCAAGGTAATTTTACGTAGTCCTGTGAAGTTTTGTTGAAGTCGGTTGAAAAATGTAGGAAATCCGATCCAATACACACACACACACACACACACACAACCTGGGTTTTATAATAAGTATGATATATATATATATATATATATATATATATATATATATACCTTTTCTCGTGTTTCCCGTCTATTTGGATTTGAGATCACACAGATTTGTTTCAGTTAATATATATTAAAAATTTTCCGCAAACTTGTCTTGTAGAAATTGACACTAATCTCAGCAAGAATTCCACTAGACATTTGTTTACAAAGAAAAAAATCCGAAAAGGCAGCAATCAATGGAGGAAAAGAAATGAAAGAAAACTGACACTTCAGAACGAGGTTGAATAGGATTCTGCCATAATATTTGTCGTATAAGTGTTGCATTGATTGCAAAATCATATATCAGTACTAAGATATATTTAATTGTTGACAAAGAATATCTGACATACTGAAATATTTGTCAACAGAAGGCGTCAAACAATATTTCTGAAAAGAAATCTTTTCGGTAGAAATTATTAATAAGTAATTATAGTGATTGAATACTGTTTTAGATAAAATCATTCTTATTATTTCCTACTTGTCGCTTTTGCATAGTGTTAGATTTCACAATTTATTGGTGCAAAAAGTAACATACAGGGTTAAGACAGATAAGTGACTTTCAGGGGGATGGCTAATAATGTGGGTACTTTGACGGTGATATCAGCTAGTAGTGATGAGGCAAAAAAACTGTGCTTTCACAAGGCCATTTTGACACTTACTTTGCCACAACATGTGCAGTGAAAAAATCTGATCAATATTTCAACCATCGTCAGGTTACGGTCTCAATTATCTATCCTGGTATCTGCGTTTGGTATTTGTATGTGTATGACATACTAAAATCAGCATCCCGAAAGGAATATGAATATTTTTTTGATGCAGATGGATTTATTGAGTGCACTGGACACGACAGAAAAGTATCCACATCAGCTGGCGGCAAGACATTCATTCGTGTTAATTGCACAGAACATTCTTCGATCTCACTGCGCTGGAATCTTTACTGATTTAATAAGCGCCATGTTAAGAGCTTGTCAAAGAAGAGAACGCCAGATGTCGCTTAAAATGCATTGCTTGCATTCTCATCTAGATTCTTTACCAACCGATCTGTGTGCCGTAAGCAATGAGCATGGATATGGTTCTACCAGGACACATCTAAGATGAAATCAAAGTATCAAAGCCGGTTCTATCCAAAAAAGATACTGTCCTGGGTATGACGATAAACTACATCCGCGTCTTGGGTAAGACGATAAACTACATCCAGCAGCAAGGCCTCTGGTCAGGAGGCATTGAGGAGCGTGGAAACACTTGTTAATTGCTGATGTCCCCAGTTCCACCCTGACACGGGGTGGTAGCACCTGTTAGGGTCCCAGCTATAGGCAGATAGTTAATCTTGAAACTGGGGTAAAAACACTATAAAAGTGTAAAAATAGGTTTTAAAACCAGTGATACTTTAAAAATTTATTAACAGCAATAAATGTTTGAAGAAAAAAATATTACCAGTAATATATTTTTTTAAAAAAAAAATATTACCAGCAATACATTTTTGAAGGAAAACATTACCAGAAATAGATTTTTGACAAAACAAAATATTACCAGCAATAAAAATTTTGTCGGCATTAAATAACCCATTGGGGTTGATGCGCTGTAAACCAAACCAAACCAAACCAAACCAAACCGAAAAAGATAGGTGACGACCGATGGTTCTTATCACTCAACATACAAGCACAACGAAAAGTGTTTCAAACCACTCTGAAGATATCAGAAAGAAACTATCTTATATCTTTCATCATAATGAGGAAAGAGAACTTAGAAAATTTGACACTCAAAGGACTATTGACTGCAATAGTGGCAGAATGAAACAGCAAGTAACCTACTTAACAAGCTTGTTAAGTGAGTATCAGAACACGAAGAGGGAGAAAGAGTAAAAGGAAAATCATTGATAAGAGCTCTGAAGGATGGGAAGTTGTGGAGAGCCTTGAGTTACCATGTCGCGAAGGGACGCGGTCGGTGAAAGAATAAGATTTTATATATGTTCGGTTATTTCTCATCGTATCTAAATATTCCTTGAGCATAAACTTATTATTCCTTCATATAGTATTTACCTTGAAAATAAATATGCTATGTATATCGAAATTGAAGTACGGGGATCATACTGAGTGGGTATTCGAAATCAGCGAACTCGATTTATTAAAGCATAAACGTAATATTTAGTAGTTACACGTCTTTGAGTATACGTTTAATAAGGAAATTAGTATCTATTGGCATTGAGATGAAAAGAAATATTCCCAAACCTGTCTTAGAAACATTTTTTTTATTAATAAATGTATTCATAAGTGAGGGTGTAGAAATGAAAAGATTTGATTATGACAATTTTTTCCATTTCACTGGAACAGACGGTAAACATTCTTTCTTTCTTTCTTTCTTTCTTTCTTTCTTTCTTTCTTTCTGTTGTGGCCTTGTTAGGATCAGAAATAAAGACACAAAGAGAGGAATCGAGTTAAACAAATATATTAACAGAAACAGTAATGCAAACATCTACAAACGAGAGTGTTACAAACATATACAAGCAAGAGTGTTACGGTCCGACTGCAAGAGCTGAATGCTGGAAACTTCATTCCCAAAAAGCAGTACCTGCTCCTGTTTATTGCTATGCATGCGTGGTTAAATTACCATAACAATTTATTTCTTATTTCGTTCTTTCATTTTCTCACTGAAACCAAGTAGCGTCTTTGATATGTTTTCGCACAGTCAAAACGAAATGGTCCATTACTTATGAGGTATTGGCAGGGTGTAACGGTCGTGCGAACTAATTATGACCTAACTAATTAAAGAAGGGGGGAAAACAGAATACTACTACTACTAATAATAATAATTACGCATCAGTGTTCAAGAGGGCTTGGAATATTTGATACTCAAAGGACAGATGGAATGTAAAAGAGAGAGAAAAGCAATGTACGATCTACCAGGCGAGTGTGAGTGAATGTATGGCGAATCAGGATTTAGGAGAGATAGCAAAAAGACAAGATTTATTAAGAGCTACATAGGACAGGAAATTGTGGAGAGGCATGATCGCCAACGTCCGTAAGAGATACTTCACACAGAAGAAGATAAGAATGAAACAGATTTGATATCATCAGCTGAAAGTCTACCTTAAGTATCCCACTGCAATGACAATGTTCACGGATTGGTCTCGGTCATCAATAAAAAAGGAAATATAAGAAAACGGTTTCGTTTCATAAAGTAGATACGGCTGAACATAATTTACAAATTACCAATAAAGGATAATGTGGGGTATATCCTTATAAAAGGAGTTTTTCCCGCAAATTTTTTTGCTTCTTAGTGAGCACACGGACTGAAATTGCTAGGAGTGGCGAATAACAAAAAGAAAAAAGTAAAGAATGGAAGTCTCTCTCCCACTCACTTCCTGTATCTCTTTTACTAATAAATAGTCGGTAAAATGTCCTTACCAAGGGCAATAAAATCAGTCAATTCAGACTATATGCGTTGTGCTGTCTAACGCCACGAGAAGGAATCTCTCTCGATGGGTGAAAAAAACATCTAATTCGATTTTTAACATGTGGTAGAGACAGGCCAGATTTAGTACATTGATCCCAGAAGTGTAGGAACGAACGTGACGGAGCAACCGACTCGATCCAAGACTAAAAAACAACGATCACTAAATACACTTTCGAGTTATTATGACGATCAGCAGTTGCAGAGAAAAGTTGGTGGTAGAACCACGGACATACAGCCACATGCCCAACCGTATTAGATACTGTGACAATATTACGCAGTCGCATAAAAAATAGAGTAAATAATTATTTCTTTTGGATCACAATCATCCGAGCCTGTTTATTTCTTATAGTCCTCGCTTTAACACAACAGTGATCCCTCGTTTACCGCGGTAGATTGGTTCCGAGACCGGCCGCGATAACTGAATTTCCGCGAAGTAGGGACGCCATATTTACAGTATTTATTTAAGGTGTATTTCAACTTTTAAAACCCTCTCTGTACTGTTAACAACCCACCCATTACAGTACTCTATAAATAACAAGGACAACTGTTAAGCAATAACACTTTAGATTTTAAAAAAAAGATTGTTACTGTATTCAACACGAAAGAAGTTGAATTTGAATGATGATGGTGATGAATTTGCTGCGCAGTAGAAATGATGATGAAGCTGATGATGACTTCTACTGTGCAGCCGATAATTGTATTTTACGTCTCTTCAGACGGCGGTGCCCTTTCCATTGCTATTTTACGCTTGTTTTGTTGTTCCTAGACCAGGAAATAATTATTATTATTTAAAGGGTTTAATGAAAAATTTTATGCGTTCATATATCGCGATTTTTCTAGAATTTTCCAGAAACTCCGCGATATATTTTCCATATATATATTTTAAAAATCGTTAATCCGCGATAGTAGAACCGCGAATTAGCGAGGGGTCAATGTACTTGTAATTTGCAGCAAAAATATTTATTCAGCAAAGAAAAAGAACATTCTAGATGGAGAGAAAGTAAACGCTTGCCTATTTGGAAAACAATCAAATCTTTATTAGTACCTACTTGCACTGATAGCAAATACGCAATTATTCCAGCCCCGAATCAGATTTAATTTATATTTACTAAGATCATCTTAGTAAGGTAATAGACTATAATGGACTGGAGATAAAACAATTGTTTTACATGAAAATTTCAAGTAATGATAGCTTGCTCGCTATCAAAATCAGAATTTTAAATACTTTTACCTGCGTTTGAAATCAGATCACTGGTATCTGTGGAAAATAAAAAAAATGACTTTAGCGATGATCGTATCTTTAATGAGCTTAGGAAATTGAAGATTCTGCCGCGGTAAGCATCAAATTTGAGTGGTACTCCCGGCCTTGAAAATCAGCATTCGAAATGCATCCCTATTACATGGATTTGAACATATATTCTGATAACAGTCGGAAATGCGGAACTAACTCAGGCATGAATCAGGCCGTTATTTATACATTTTATCGTTTTGTTTTAATGTCATGCTCGTTTAGCAAGTGAGATTGTATCACTCTCCACGACTTCTTTTTTTTATTTAAATTTCTGTGAATTGCTGTGGTTGTTGTTGTGAAAGTCTTGTGCGTTCTCGTTGCTTTCTCCAAGATTCTGAATATAAAACTTTATTTTTCCAAGACTGGTTTCTAACATTTCTGGTTTCTAACAACACCACTTTCTTTAATATTTTCCAACAGCCGAAGAGTAAGGTGTGTTTTTATCTTCTCCGAAGAGAATTATTGCGAAGTAAACGCATCATCCTTTTATTCAAATATATTTTTCGTCAAAGTCATGTCCTTTCAGCATGTAGGATGGAATTTTGTTAAAGAATGCGTCGGTTAGACCAATATGGCGAATCCTACCATACTTTGATGACCCGAACGAAGCGGGGTGATTTGAATACCGTGGACAGGGAATTCTGACAGTGATCGATTGTCTTTAAGCTTTAATATAAGACCAAAAAACGCAAAAAAGTACAATGGCAATAATAGAAGGTTGAAGACGACCCTCTGCCCCCCTCCAAGGTTCCTTGACATGACTGGCTTCAGTAGATTGAGACACACCACAAAGTTCTGACGGTCAGCCACCCTGTTGAAACCCGTTTTCTCTATATGCTACTACTACTGTGTATCCCCAGAAATAAATGGAGAAAAAGAAGCCTCAAGAAAATTATTTTTCGTTAAATCACTTGTGATGCAGCGTTGGGGCTTGAGTAATTGCCAATAGACCGCAAGAATCCAGATACGACAAGCAATGCAACAGTTTGCCAATAATGTTTGGAAAAGACAGTGAAATGTTTTCTCGCTACCATCATTCTGAGTTGTAATTCTCTTGCTTCGGTGGCCACACAAGGCTAGAGAACACAGTCTACTCAGTTATTTAACACATAGTTCAGTAGATTCATTTATGCTTTTTCTCAAAGGTATTAGTACAAAAATAGATACAGTAGAGAAAACTGGAATTTGAACGCGGCATCCCAATACAGAAGTATAAAGCTAATGATTTAGATTCAAGTGATTATTTTTTTTACCTGATGGTGACTTGCGTACGGCGGTGTTAAGAAGTAAGAGGTCTTCTTACTTTTTATATTGTGTTTATCCTCGTCTTAAAATTGGGATTATTTTTTCTTCCTCTTTTATGATTTTATTCTTTATATTTAGTTTTGTGTAAGAAAATAATCAACATTGAAGAGGCCGTATATTCATACGCGGAATGAGGTTTTCTTCATGACAGTTGTGGCTGATTTCGAAATATATTCCATTAGGGAACCGTTTTATGGAATTCTTTTTTGCTGTTGATATTACGTTTTCAAATTATAGTAGTGTTTGCAATCTTCCTTCTTAGTATTCAGTCTTATGCAAAAGTTTGGCTTAATGCTTCTGTGTTTGATGACAGTTGCATTGTTTGAATGGAATAGAACCAATGTCAGTTCGACATTTTTATTGCATTCTTATTTGCCTTTCAATCTGATTTTATCCGAAGATTAATAATTGAAAAGAACTAAAATTCAGGTGTTGTACAATTTGGCTGCATATATTATTGTAGATCCAAATTAATTAATATGCCAAATCGATTTATGTCCCTGGTGCAGACACACAGATATCATAAAACTTACTAATTGACTCATATTACCCAGCAGTTGTCGTTGTTAAAAAATTTTATGCTAAAGTTGACCTAATACAAGGATCGAGAAACACTCAAGGTACAGTGTTAATGTTTCTTATTAAGCGATATCACCTCATGCAAAGCTGTAAAGCCACTAAGACACAAGGGTGCGTGTACAAAGTGTGAAAAATTAGGAAAAGAAACATTAAGGAGCGGGAAGAGGAAAGATTAATTAGGAGGAAGCAGAAAGCGATTGACATTGCATTAAAAGTTTTGCTGATTAATGTTGGTTGGAATACATGAGACGAGAAGGTATTTCCACCAGCGACAAGTGCAAGAAATTAAACTGTTAGCATAGAATTTACAGCTAAATCTATAGCCATCTCAACTGTAATTTGATGAGGTTTCGAGACCAGTCTAGTACTGCGTTTAAATTTTTAAAAGGTCGAGGTGTTACACTGAGACTGTGAGGTGATTGAACATTAAATATAAATTGGAAGATAGAGAGATAAAAAGAGAAAATGGAAGACATTTTACCTGATAATGCGGAAGTGAAGAAAGGGCCATCTGGGTTGCCTCACCCCTGCGAATTGGAACCATGCACTGAGAGTTTACTTTTTTAGCTATCGAAAATCTGGTATACGGGTAAAACAAATTGGGAAATGGTTTTATTTCTTTCTTGGGAAATTAGAAAAAAACACATGTCATTGCGGAAAAGAGAAGCAGGTGGCGAATTATATTTTCGTTAGCGAAAAGGAATTGAGAAATGAAAACAGATAATGTACCCGCTGCAAAGGTTAGGATTATGAAATCAAATTTAAGATTTTGGTGCAATACGATGTTTTTACCCGATTTGAGCTTGTCACAGAAGTAATTAAACTATATATCTAAAAATTAGAAAACGCATAGTAGAATTACTTCAGACAAGAATTATTCGAGTATAGAATCCAGAGGTTAGCAGTGAATATTTCGGAGACAGTAGGAAAGTGTAGTTCAGGTTAGCAGTGGATATCGCAGCAAAGTAGCAGAGCGTAGTTCTTCCTTCTGTCATCTTCGCCTGACAAGTTGGCACTGGTCATTCGGGTAGGATAAACAAAAATGACCGCCTTTATAGACGACGGATACAATGTTCTGCGGCTTCCGATTGGTTAATCTTCTATTGGTAGACTATAAAGGGAATTAAGTCATTTTGACTAACTCACTAGTCATATATATATATATATATATATATATATATATATATATATATATATATATATACACAAAAAAACTGTAACATGCTTTTCTTTCCTCGCGAAACCTCACGTCTAAGATATCTTTTTCTTCTGATTTTTTTGCAAGAAAAACGGAATGGTTCATTATTTATCTGAGATAATGGCAGGACGTAATGGACGCGTTATCATAGCAAATAACTAAGGGAGGAACAAAGAGAATTATAATATAATGCCTTCTTAGAAGCTATCCAAAAATTAATTTTGAATTTCAAACAAGGTCGGCTGTATCCAGTTGATAGATGAATACAATCAATTTTGCTAGTCCGCCTTTCTCTTTATTTCGGCATATGCTGTGCAAAGCAAAGCTTAGTAAATATCAATAAATACGTGATTCTTGGCTGAGGTGGTGACGTGTTCGAGATGAGATGAAAACAAAGATTTCAGATGTTGGATTTCAAAGGGAAGCAGGCCGTCTTCACTTCAACGATTTCCAAGTCGCACTTCTTTCCGTTTGAAATTGTGTTGTTCTAGGCTTAGTAAGAATAAATAAGAATTTCTGAGATGAAATCAAAAGAAATGAAACATTTTCTTTATTATTAAAAATGAGATGAAACATAAATCGAGTTTGAAATTATTGTCATCAACTAAATGGTTAAGTAATAACAAAAACAGGTTTGCAGATCTATCGTATATTAAACATTAGGTACACCAGAAGAGTATTGCATGACTAGCGAGAGTGTATTGAATGGACTAGCACTCAATCTATTCACTGTTCCCCCCAAGACCTTCTCTCCTACTAATTTTATAGTAGGCGGAAGAGTCTAACAAAACTCTTTAGAGAAAGAACACCACAACAGAAATTAACACATTTTCTCCAGCTATCCTAAAGTCGAGAGAAGCAACAGCATCCATTAATTTGAGCGTTCCCAGATCCAAATTAACCTTGTAGCGGATGTTCTGTTATACCTGCAGAAAAGTATAACATTATTTAATGGCACCTAAATTTACTGCAGATTTGCAGGACATGTTCAGTGCTTACAAATAACTGTTATAAAAAAGCGTGAATCTAATGATATTGTTTCATTTTAAGTCTTCCATATCTGCCACAGCCGATAGCATTAAACCAGGCAAATATAGAAGCTTATCTGAGTACACTAACCGATTATCGCCATATAAATTCATGGAATTGTCTTTGTTTTACGTCATTTCGGATATCGAGGAAACCTGTAATAGTATATTTATTTCTTTAAAGCGAGGGACATAAAGTTAACTTTTGTAAATCGGATAAATAGTGAACAACTAAACTTTCTAGTGAAGCATAAAAAGAAACCTATGTGAAAATGAACAAGACAAAATCATTATCTATCTATCTATCTATCTATCTATCTATCTATCTATCTATCTATCTCGCTCTTCGCTTCTAATCAAAACTGGAAAGATGAAAGGTGATGGAACAAGCGTTATAAGAGTATTATTCCGTTGGTTGCAATGGCAGAAAGCTGCCAAACCTTCTTCTCATGATACGATACTGATTTTTCTTTCAACAGAATTGCGAGAAAAGCCTTCAGCATCAACTGATATTGGAATAATACCATAATTAAAAGAATATATTTACAACTGTTTACTGCTTATTTGTCGAAAGCCACCAAACTAGAACAAAACTGAAATGCAACCAACTGACCAAGGGATCTTGGCGTGACCAATGACATATATATGTAACAAGAAAATAAAATAGAAATGATTTTGAAAACAACCTTGAAAGTAACGGCCACATTATTTAATAATAATAATAATAATAATAATAATAATAATAATAATAATATTCAAAGACCTGGAAATTGAAATAGAAAAAATGTGGAAATTGAAAACAAGAATAATACCAGTGGTAATAGGTGCACTTGGAATTATAAAAATGGAACAAAACAACACATTGAAAGAATCCCTGGAAACCCCAGCTTAAGAGACATACAGAAAATTGTCTTATTAAGTACAGCACACACACTAAGGAGAACTTTGTCTATGTAACTAGCAACTTCACCGAAATGCGGCCATAACAACACACCACGACCTGCCTTAGGGTCTTTCCGCAGAATGTCCATAACAGAAATCGAATGATGATGATAATAATAATAATAATAATAATAATAATAATACTGTACCAATAGTAATCAAAGCTCCGGACCTCGTGAGAAAAGTAATGAACAATTTTACTAACAGTGTCCCAGGTAGCATCAACATACAGTTTGCCCAGAAAATCGCTCTACTAGGAACATCCCGTATACCAAGAAAAAGTGCTATCAAGTAAATGACAATTCTCCTATAGGGCCTAAGGACCATAGTTTGGACTAGTCTTTACGGGATACAAATTAGGAAACATAACATACACAAATAATAATAATAATAATAATAATAATAATAATAATAATAATATATTCTAATATAAAAATGAAGAAGTTAATGAAAAATCCGATTTTCAGGGGATAAGTATTTGAATTCGATGATGTTTTTTTTTATATATTCTCCTGAACATTTGATGACAACATTTATTTTAGTTTACATTCGTAGAAAAGTTCAGTTATCCAAAATTAAATAAAAACACATGAGAATAAAAAGACTGTGTAGTAACATAAAGAGAAAAGAATACCTTACTGAAAAGCAAAGCATAAATTAGTGAAACCAGTCTACATCGATAGATAAATAATTAAAGGTAGAAGATTTGTGAGCAACGAAAGGCAAGACTAGAAACTATTAAAGCCAACAGACCTAATATTATCATAAAAGACAAGAAATTCAAATAGTGTATGCTTATTGACATATCAGTGCCATCTGAGACAACCATCTCCATGAAAATTATCGAGACCTTTTCCATATACATGGAGATCGAGATTAACAGGATGTGGGGAATGAAGACTGAGACTGTACCAATAGTAATCGGAGCACTGGGCCTCGTGAGAAAATGAATGAACAATTTTACTAAGTGTCCCAGGTAGCATCAACATACAAGTTGCCCAGAAGATCGTCTTACTATCAACATCCCATATAATAAGAAAAGTGCTATCAGTTAAACAACAATTCTCCTATAGGGCCTAAGGACAACAGTTTGGACCCACCTCTACAGGATACAAAGCAGGAAACGTAATATACACAAATGATAATTATAATAAGAACAACAACTAGCTTTGGCCATAGAAATTCTACAGTTGACAGAATATCTGTCATGACTCTTTGGCGATATGACTTGCTTGAAGCTATGATTCTTCATGCCGAGGGTACCGGGGTGGCAATTTTTTGGTTGCTGCATCCCGACTGGAAGCAAGGAGCCCGAACTCTTAGAGAAGCTTACACACGCTTAGAGAAACTGCTATGGTCAACAGTCACATAATATCAGTATCCTTGCTGCCTTATGTCGTGCCTGAATAGGTGTATGTGCAACCACTTCTGGTGTCAACCCTGAAGCCACCCTGTGTTGTAGTCTTCTCCTCCTGCTGACCGACAGTAACTTTTATTCCTGGCCTACACCGGTTAAGAAATATAAAATTAAACCAGTTTGCAAAACAACGTCTAAACCGCTCAACCGTTGTCCAACATTCATGATGTTTGTAGCAATTTCTGCAGTGTAGAATCGTTTTGTTTTGGAACGCACAGAGTTGGCTGTGATGCTTGTACCTTGCAGCCTTATCAAACTGGTTGTCATAATAGATATATTTATCATAGTATATTTTAAAGCAAGCGTCACTTTGTTGACATGCAGCTCAACCATTCAATAATAATAATAATAATAATAATAATGACATCTCCTACCAAAAATGAGTGAAAAGGGATTTTGAAGTGGAAATCTAAAAAAAATGTGGCATACTCATTGAAGGGATCCCTAGTAGACCATGCCTTAAAGAAATACAAAAAATTGTTCTCACAATTACGGCTCGCACCTTACAAAGGGCTTTATCTATGTTAAATATCTGTGTTCCAAGGTTTTATTATTTTTATTACAGTGTAACCCGGATATAAGAGAGTTGTCGGGACCGGAGAAGAAGTCTCTTATACCCGGGTTTCTCTTATATCCGGGTTTCTCTTATATCCAGGTTTGGTCTATTTTATATACAGTGTAACCCGGATATAAGAGACCCTGATATAAGAGAAACCCGGATATAAGAGAGATTTTCTCTGGTCCCAAATTAGAGCCTGTGTTAATGTATATAAAATAGACCAAACCCGGATATAGAGAAACCCGGATATAAGAGACTTCTCCGGCCCCGACAACTCTCTCATATCCGGGTTACACTGTACATTAACACAGGCTCTAATTTGGGACCAGAGAAAATCTCTCTTATATCCGGGTTTCTCTTATATCCGGGTCTCTTATATCTGGGTTACACTGCACAAAAGTTTTCAGTGTAAAATGTAATGATGCCATGTTTTACCTTAGATTTCTGTTTGGAACCCGGAAGGAAATGCGTGTACAACAGATAACAAAGGATAATAATAATAATAATAATAATAGCAACAACAACAAAAAAAAATGTGACTTATCGATACGAGATGAGATTTCAAGAAATGGTTGTGGCAATGAAATTCCACCAATCAATGAAATACTTAGAGAGGAAACACAATTAAAGGGACAGAGAACAGGATGATATGAAAAATGTTGTAGGTTCTATAGACAAAATAAGATATTTCAAACGAATGTCAAGAAGTTTTACAGGGAAATCAGAAAAGACGTTCTAGAAGTCGAAAAGCCACCAACTATTGAACGAGGGCAAACAATTTGGGAGAATATTTGGAACAAGCCAAAAGAATATAAATCCAATGCAGAGTATATGAAACGGGAACGATAAATAATGAAGCTTAAACCTTTAGAAGAATTTTAAAATCTTACCAAGAAGAATTTTAGAAAAGCCCTAACAAATTACCCGAAATTGAAATACCCATAAACTGTAAAGGTACCCAACTTTTGGCTCTATCATCTGTCTTCGATACATAAAACCCTTCCGCAAACGTTATCAATGCTAATTAATAATCCTGATAAAATTCCAGAATGGATCAATGAAGGTATTGCATATCACCTACCAAAACCGGGTGATCCAAAATATTATAGGCCAGTAACATGTCTGTCTACCACATTAATTAATCACGTCTGTTATGGTGAACTGTACTTAGTCATTTTTCGATGAAAACGACTTTATTTCCCTGGAACAGAAGGGATGCCGAAGAGGTTCTTATGTTTGCAAAGATAAAATATTGGTGAATATAATGATTCTGGAAATGTAACACTCTTGTATCCATAAGACTATCGTAGATAGTATTTTCCTTAAATATGGCATGAAACTGTGGGATACAACATTATACCTAAATCACACCAAAGGTACTGCCACTTCCACTCGCTGGAATATCTGGCAAGGAATTTCTCAAGGAGACTCCCTGTTACATATTTTATTCTGTATACCCTTAATCCCCCTTTCACATGAAATAAACTATGGATATAATGTAAAAAAAAAAATAAAAAAAAAATTAATCCCTTATTCTGTATAGATGATCTCGATCTTTTTGCCAAAGACGACAATAACTTGAAAGCTCTTCTTTATATTGTAAAAGGTTTCAGTGATGACATCGGTGTGGATTTCGGATTAGATAATTGTGCCGTTGAGGAAAAGGAGAATTACTGAAAAACATTCAATACATCTAGATTTTGTCACAGAGGTTAGGGAGCTAGAACAAGAAGAAGCTTATAAATACCTAGGAGTCAGCGAAGGAGATGGAATACGGCATACCTGAATGAAGGAGAAAGTAAGGAAAGAATACTACAGGCGTGTGTATCTGGTGTTAAATACCGAGTTGAGTTCACAAAACAGAATATCAACCATTGGTTGTCCCTTTGGTGCAATACAGTTCCAATATCCTTAACAGGACCATAGCTGACATTAAGCGAATGGATGTCAAAACGAGAAAACTTCTCACTTGTCATCACATGCACCATTCTAAGGTCGACATTGATCGTCTGTATGTGTCCAGATCCGAAGGAGGTAGAGGATTAGTTCAACTAGAACTGTTTTACAAAACTATAACAATCGGTCTTCTAAGATACCTGGAAGCTACAGTAGACTGGTTGATGATTCGTATCAAAAACATGAAAGAAAAGAGAAATTTTATCCAATAATAAAGGAAGCCAATTTCAAGTGGGTGAAGAAGTGCAACTAAACCGTAATGCACCTACTGCAACGACAAAGAGCCTAAAAAAGAAAACAAAAGGAATGGCCAAATGCAGAAACGATGGAAAGATAAGCCTCTTCATTTTTCAATACTCTACCCGTGCCAAACAAGCTGAAGTAGACAAACCACGTACCTACTAGTACAGGGTTAAAAGCTGAAGTCGAAAGTTTTATTCTTTATGCACAGGACCAATGCTTGTTAACTAGAAATTACTAAGCACCTATACTGAAAAGTGTTAACCCGAAATGCAGATTCTGTGATAAATATCCATATATTATTGGCCATCTTGTATCAAGTTGCACAGTATTAGCACTCACTGAATATAAAGCACGGAATGAGATAGAGGGCTGATATCTGCATTGAAAAATGTCCATATTTTATGGTAAGGAA